TTTGATGCGCCTCTCCTGGTTTACATATGTACGGAGTACTCATACTATCAATCGATGGCTGATCTGGATTGGGAAGCACGGGCCCTAAAATAGCAACGGGTCAATTTCCCCTGCAGCTCCACCACCACCCAGTACTGGGGCTGAATGGCTGGATGATATCTTTCTGGACTGTCACAGAATCGATAGTGATTGCCTCGACATGTAGTCTCCCTGTGCAATGTTCCCAATTGACCCTTCAACAATGAGTAATTGACACTGCCATCATGGGATGTATTGACCTGTTTGACCTGTTTGAGGGGCAGCAGCCTTGCCAAGTATCACGTGAAGTCCCGTTCCCGCAGAGCCCGTAGAGTCAACCATACCACTTTGGGACTAGTCGTACTCAGGCACCGTGCAAGGCACGTGCCAGCAGGGCGGTATCACTTTCAGTAGGCGGTAACTACTGACAGTTGCGGCCCGGTCGCCGATAACTTTTTTTTTTCTCTTTGCGCCGAACCCGCCCCGTTGCCATTGATTGCTGTTACAGCAAGAGAGTGTGATCTCAAATCTTCCCAACACCTGACCACCTGTCTCCTCTCTCTCATCGAGGGCCTGGTCTGTGTCTTGCTCACTCAACAGTTGCGCGCTGTTCCGTTCGGTTCTCACAGACACACACAACTTCCGGCGCAGTCTGTGGTTTCCGCCGCTGTCTTGACGAATTTTCCTCGGCCGGGTGGAAAGCATTCGACTCGGAACTCAATTGAAACCTACCGCGATAAGGGTCTAAACGGTCCTCGAAGAGACCGCAGCACCACAATGCCTCGCAAGGCTATCGACTCGCGCATTCCGGCGCTTATTCGGAATGGCGTGCAAGAGAAGAAGAGAAGTTTCTTCGTCGTGGTCGGCGACCGCGCCAAGGATGTCATCGTTAACCTGCACTATATCATGTCTAGCGTCGATGTCAAGCAGAACAAATCCGTCCTGTGGGCTTACAAGAAGGATCTCTTGGGCTTCACCAGTCACCGCAAGAAGCGTGAAGCTAAGATCAAGAAGGAAGTGAAGCGTGGTATCAGAGAGCCAAATCAGGAGGACCCGTTCGAGCTGTTCATCACTCTGAACCAGATCCGTTATGTCTACTACAAGGAAACCGAGAAGATTCTCGGTAACACCTACGGCATGTGCATTCTCCAAGACTTCGAAGCTATGACGCCCAATCTGCTCGCCCGGACGGTCGAAACGGTGGAGGGAGGTGGTATCGTTCTGCTGTTGCTGAAGGGATTGAGCAGTCTGAAGCAACTCTACACCTTGTCGATGGACATCCACTCACGGTACCGGACCGAGGCGCATGACGATGTGGTGGCTCGTTTCAACGAGCGTTTCATCCTTTCCCTCGGCAGCTGCGATTCCTGTCTCGTTCTCGACGACGAAATGAACGTTCTGCCCATCTCTGGAGGCAAGAATGTCAAGCCCCTGCCACCCCCGGAGTCGATCGATGAGAACAGCACGGGTACTACGAAGGAGTTGAAGGAGATCAAGGAAAGCTTGGAAGAGTCTCAGTTGGTCGGACCTCTGGTCAAGTTGGCTCGCACCGTGGACCAGGCCAAGGCGCTTCTTACCTTCGTGGATGCGATCGCCGAGAAGACCCTCCGCAGCACTGTGACTTTGACTGCCGGCAGAGGTCGCGGTAAGTCTGCAGCGCTCGGTGTTGCCATTGCTGCCGCCGTGGCCCACGGATACAGTAACATCTTCATCACATCGCCTAGCCCAGAAAACTTGAAGACGCTTTTCGAGTTCGTGTTCAAGGGATTCGATGCGCTCGGCTACATGGACCATGTCGATTACACCATCCTGCAGTCGACGAATCCCGATTTCAACAAGGCTATTGTCCGAGTCAACATCCACCGTCAGCACCGCCAGACTATCCAGTACATCCAGCCCCAGGATGCTCATGTTTTGGGCCAAGCCGAACTGCTGGTGATCGATGAAGCCGCCGCCATTCCCCTGCCTTTGGTCCGCAAGCTGATGGGCCCTTATCTGGTTTTCATGGCGTCCACAATCAACGGTTACGAAGGAACTGGTCGGTCTCTTTCCTTGAAGCTGATTCAGCAGCTTCGTGAGCAGTCCAGAGGAGGACTAAAGGCCAATGGCGAGGAGGACATCGACGTCGCTGATCGGGCGACCGGCAAAGCGGCCAAAAACGCCGACAAGGGCCTGGGTGGTCGTTCGCTCCGGGAGATCACCCTGTCTGAACCCATTCGTTATGCCCCTGGCGACTCGGTGGAGAAGTGGCTCAACAAGGTCTTGTGTCTTGACGCAACCTTGCCCAAGTCCCGGATGAACACCCAGGGCTGCCCCCACCCATCGCAATGCCAACTGCTCCAAGTCAACCGTGATACCCTGTTCTCCTTCCACCCTGTTTCCGAGAAGTTCCTGCAGCAGATGATGGCCCTTTACGTGGCCAGCCACTACAAGAATACCCCTAATGATCTCCAGCTCATGAGTGACGCCCCCGCACACCAGTTATTTGTCCTTGTCCCGCCCATCGATGAGGAGGCCACGAAGCTTCCCGAGCCCCTTGTTGTGATCCAGGTTGCGCTGGAAGGTCGTATCAGCAGACAGAGCGTGCTCAACAGCTTGAGCCGCGGCCAGCGCGCCGGAGGAGACCTGATCCCTTGGCTGGTCAGTCAACAATACCAGGATGAAGACTTCGCCGGTCTCTCCGGTGCCCGAGTGGTCCGCATCGCCACCAACCCCGAATACCTCAACATGGGTTACGGCTCCCGCGCGTTGGAGCTGCTCACCGATTTCTACGAGGGCAAGTTCACCAGTCTGTCGGAGGATGCCGTTGACGCACCGGAGGAGATGGTTCGCGTGACGGACGAGGAACTGGCGAACGCCACCCTCCTGGACGACAACATCCAGGTGCGGGACATTCACAAGATGCCACCCCTGTTCGGCAAGCTTTCCGAGCGCCGCCCGGACGCGCTGGACTACCTCGGCGTCAGCTTCGGCCTGACGCCCTCGCTGCACAAATTCTGGAAGCGGTCCTCCTTCTCCCCGGTCTATCTCCGGCAGACCCCCAACGACCTGACTGGCGAGCACTCGTGTGTGATGCTGCGCACGCTGGCCACAGGCCCCAACGACGCCAGCTGGCTGGGCGCGTTCTCGCGGGATTTCCACAAGCGGTTCAACTCGCTCCTGTCGTACCAGTTCCGCGAATTCCCCTCGGTGCTGTCGCTCAGCATCTGCGAGTCCGCCAACGCGGGCGCCAAACTCGACACCTCCTTCTCCCCCGTGGCCCTGACCAAGTCCGACCTGGACCGCGCCTTCTCCCCCTTCGACCTCAAGCGTCTCGACAGCTACGCCAACAACCTCCTCGACTACCACGTCATCCTGGACATGGTCCCCACGATCGCCGAGTACTACTTCTCCGGCCGCCTCAGCGGCAAGGTCAGCCTCTCGGGCGTCCAGCAGTCGATCCTCCTGGCCATCGGCCTGCAGCGCAAGAACCTCGAGGCCCTGGAGAAGGAGATCAGCCTCCCCTCCTCCCAGCTGCTGGCCATGTTCCTCAAGATCATCCGCAAGATGTCCACGCACTTCCGCTCCGTCATCGAGGGCGCCGTCGCCGAGACCATGCCCGCCCAGCAGCAGGCCGCCATCGCCGCGCAGGAGGTCACCGAGGCCCACGACGAGGTGATGGAGGACCGCTTCAAGCCCCTGGAGACCGCCCTCGACGACGAGCTCCGCGAGGGTGGCCAGCAGATCGACGAGGAGCTGCGCGAGAAGCAGCGAGCTCTGATCGATGCCCTTCCTCTTGACAAGTTAGTTGTCCCAGCCCCAGCCCCCCCTCCCCCCCCATTAGCCCACGCCCATGTTTCGTTCTGCCCCCACCCTTTCCTCCCCTTCAACACCCACAACCTTGGAATGAACAATAACTGATCTCACAGCCTTCAGATACGAGATCAACAACGGTAGCACCGCCTGGGACGAGGCCGAGAAGCAGATCCGCACCGGCGGCGCCTCCACCGTCAGCGTCAAGTCCGCCAAGCAGACCAAGCGCAAGAAGGGCGAATCCGCCCGCGAGATCTACGACCAGGAGATCGACTCCAAGCGACAGAAGATCATCAAGAAGGGGACGGAGGGACGCAAGAAGAAGCACTAAAGCAGCGTCGAGTATTTTATTTTATAATGAAAAAGCGCGTGGGTGGGAAAGAAAAAAGCCTTGGGCCATATTACGCAAATCTCATATCCTATATCATCATCTTTCTATTATGTTCTTTGCTTGGGTCTGCGGGATAGCTGTATTTTTTTATTTTTCGTCTCTGATGTAGCTTTTCGCTTCCCAAGCCGCGGCTGTGCTGTGCTGTTCAAGACATGGGTTTTTTTATGTGGTTTGTTTGGTTTGGTTTGCATCTTTGCTAACATAGAGAGGCTCTTTGTACATACGACGCAGGAAGACTCGAATATATCCTAGTACTGAATTGCGTTGCTTCCTATTCAGGAAGGTGGACATGTATCCCGCCGAGTCCCGTCTCGGAAACGAAAGTAGGGGTATATATTGCCGGATGCGCACAAATATACAAGAAATGAAAAACACGTCCCCTAATCTATAGCCTCTCTTCAAACCACCCGTCCGAAAGACTTGAGTTGGTCCAGCCAAAAAGAAAACGAACGAGCGTCGTGATGTCTCCATCAGTTAAATAGAAGCATCTTCCCCCCTACCATGGAAAACGGCTTCGCCTATCTCGTTTACCACATTGATCAAAACGAATGGAACCCCACCCCTGCCCCTGCCCCTGCACCCTCGAAACAGTCCCTCCGCTTTCCGATAAATAGCGAGCGTGAAACTGCGTGGTTGAGATGGTTTACCGTGGGCGACTCACGTCCCAGCAGAACAAATGTGGAGTGTCGAAATCAAGTCAAGCGAGTGTCCTCTTTCCTCGGTGAAGTCCAACACACACGCACACACACAACAAAACCATGAAGTGACCAGCCAAATTGACCCTCGCCCGTCAGTTCGATCACCCGCGGAACGCATATTCATATCCTCCAGATTCCCTGCGTCCGCGTCTCGTGAACGCCGGCCCGCGCGTGTGCTGCGACAGGCCAGGCCATCGGCGCGACGCCGTAGCATTCAGGACCCCATTGATGCTGGCATCCTGGTAGACCTTCAACGAGTTGATGGTCCAGTATGCGTCCTCGAAGGCCGACGGGTTGTTCGCCACGTAGTCGGTGCAGGAGCTGGCGTAGGAGGCGCACGAGCCCGAGCTCCAGACATTGCCGGCCCAGTCGCCACAGAAGGTGGTGTCGAAGACCTGTGTGTCAGAATTTTAGCAAGAGAAGAGTCTTGGGACTTTCGGGCAGAGCCGAACGCGGGCCAAGATATTTAGGGGACGTACAATCTGCATGGCGTCGAAATGCGAGTCGATATCACAAGAGCCCGCGAAGCTGGCGGCCGGGGTTCCCCAGGTGGCCGGGGTGGGGACGCCAGCGGTGACATCGGCAGGGATGCTGCCGCGGGGGAAGAACCAGATGTCGATAGCGGAGCTTGTCCACTCCGTGGCATAGACACCACCACCGAGCGAGTTGAAGGACGTTCCGTAGGACTGGGAGCTTGGGGAGGTGATGCTACAGCCCGCATTGCTGGATTGGCCCGCCGCATCAACGTAGCAGTTGCTGGTTGTCAGAGTGCCGGTGAAGCCGGAGTTGTCGATGCTGCAGCCGTCGCTGGTATGGAGGGTCATCAAGTCGTTGGTCTGCTGATTGACGCCTTCGATGATGTCGATCTCGCCATTGTTAGGCCAGTTGGAGCCGAGAAGCCAGCTGTTTCCCTCATTGTTAGGTCTGGATAATAACTGGAACTAGCTCGCTAGGGGTAGCTCACAATGCTGGCCAGGTGCCGCAAATTCCACCGGGCATGTGCGCCAGATCCAAAATAAACAGCCCGTGGGTATACTCGCTGTCGCTCGTGATGCGCACGCTCTCTCGGCCGCTGCTGGCCACGTTGGTATAGTCCACACCCATGTAGACTGATCCGTCTGCGTTAGTTGAGATTAAGCCATCAGTCTGGGCCGTAGATTGGTCGACATAGCTGACGAAGCCATGGGTAGGATCTGTTTCAGTGAAGAACGTAAAGCGGTCAAAGAATGCCGAGCTGGTATAGTCATCCAGCAAAGTATAGGTTGCAGTACTGAGCTGCGCCGTAAGGCCAAAAGCCGTCAAGAGGAAAGTATAGGCCCGCATGGCGCTTGTAGAATGAAGTAGAGCGCAATGTATGGCAAGGGAATGTTGTTAATGAATCGCTAGGGAGTGGACAGGTAGCGGGACTACCTAAAAAGTAGAATGAATGAAGACTAACAGCCCAGCTGTAGAGACAATGAGGTGTAGACCGAAGGAGTGTCGCAGAATTGTGATGATCTTGTAAACATATTGCCCGCGACGGAATGGAAGAAGCGATATATATAGGGCAGTGCTCCTTTTTTTTTTTTTTTTTTTTTTTTTTTTTTTTTTTTTTTTTTTTTTTTTTTTTTTTTTTCCGCACATCGTCGACCAACTTATCCGACCAGCTCACGGTAATCCCCTTGGCCGCCAGGACGCTGGGCTTGGCGGCGTCGAAGAAGTTCTTGCGCCACACCTGGAACTTGTTCTCGCGCAGCGCGGTCATGGTGATCTTGACGGCCTGGCCCAGCTCCGAGTTCCCGCTGGGCGGCAGCCGGTAGGTCTTCTTGTAGACGAGGGCCAGCACGACCGGCAGGATGAAGTAGACCAAGCCCGCCAGCAGGAAGGCCAGCCAGTAGCCCACGTACTTCTCGGCGTAGGTCGTGGCCAGCATGTAGAAGGCGCCGACGTTGACCACCCCGTAGAAGATCAGCATCGTGCGCGTCGCCGTCATCTCCGGGTCGACGATCACCTTCTCCCCGGACTTGAGCGTCTTGGTGTACTGCTTCTGGTGGCGGAACTGGTCCAGCACCGTGGGCGCGATGTTGGGCTTGAACACTCCCGCCCCGAACGCCAGCATCAGCAGCCCGATGATGAACGGCGGCGCCGCGTGCGACTGGCCCTGCTGCAGGACGGTCGGGATCGCCCCGATGATCTGGATGATGTGCGCCACACCGCAGATGGCCACCCCGATGCAGATCGCTTTGTACCGGCCGATGTGGACGTCGGCCCACCTGGGGAGGGTGGTCAGTGAACACGAACGCAAAGTTGACCAAGGGAGGGGATCTTACCATCCTCCGAAGATGGGAATCACGTAGGCCAGGAACTGGAACAGCAGCACCAAAGCATCACTCGCCTGCAGTCCCATGTTCAGGGCACCGGCGGTCTCTTGCGTGCCCCGTGGGGGAGCACCAGCCCCGTTACCACCTATCCGGGGTTAGTCTGGACCCCACTGAGCCAGATGTGAGCAGGTACACATACCTTTGGGCAGCGGGAATTCGATGAAGTTGGAAAACACCGTCTGGGCACCGTAGTAGGAGGCACGCTCGGCGAACTCGACCAGACAGAGCGAGTAGGCCACGATGGGCAGGTTGGCGGGGATCTTGCGCAGGCTGCTCAGCTCCGCGTCCGTGGGAGCGGGATAGTCCTCGTCGTGGCCGATGGTCGTGGTGTCGACCTCGTAGTTCAACTTCTCCGGGTCGGGGTGGGTGGCATGGCTGATCACGGTGGTCACCTCGCCATGGTTGATGGCGTCGACGACCTGGTTTTCTGCAGCTAGGGCAGCTGGTGATCGTCAGTGAGGGAAATTCACTGGTCAAAGAATACAACATACGCATTGTGACAGGTGGCAATGGCTGGGGTCAGGGGGTGCGGACACAGCAACAGCAGCAGCAGCAGGAAAGCACAGGCTGCATCGCGGGTTGTTCTTATATCTCCATCGCTTGACCCCAGGACGGATCCCCGGCGGCGATATGGCCTTGCCAAGGAGGGTAGGGCGAATTCAAGCAATCTCACAGCCGTCGGACAGCGAGGGGGATGTAACGCTGCGCAGAGCCTGGGGGGTGATTGCAGGAGACCCAATAGCACTAGACCGGGGCTCGAAGCCTAGTTAGGGTTAGCTGATGCTTATCAGCCCGCATGCACAGGGCGAATGCACCAATCCCAACCCCGACACCGACAATGATAAGAGATGCACGGGAACTTGCGCCATCGAGCACATATTAATTTCTGATAATTGGCATTGACGCCATTCGTGTGTTGGTGGTGCATGCATCCAGATCGGGTGACCACCTCGGTTGCCTTCGAAATCATTGGGAGGGTGTCAATTGGTCGCCATGGCCTTTTCAGCTGGTGGTAACTGGCAATCAGAGGCTGACACCCTGGTAGAATAGACATATCGTATCACTCATCGTGGTTTACCGAAGAGTGTTCAGGCCAAGAGAGAGGCAAAGATACCAAGCCGGCAGCCCCTGCCCAGCACACTTGGCTTCCCGCGAAGCCTTCTTGTCTTTGCTTATCTCTCTCGCCCAGCAAAACCACAACAACAACCAAGACAGAGGCTTCGCTTGGCGGATTACAGCCATGCACAAGGTATCCGTATTGAGCATCGACAGAAATCCCACTTTCTCACTTCCCTATCGCATGCGACCGTTACGAATCGCCACCGAAAATGGCTTGAAGCAGGATCCCCATCCTGGGTAACCGACAGGGGCCTGGCTGGCTCCGTCGTTCGCACTCGCACTTCCCAATCCTCGTCCCCGGCAGATACATCGTGGGGAACGCACGACCGAGGGCGCCCATTCGAGTAAAACCTCCGCTCCTAGTTCCTGCATCTCGTGATGGACGGTCGTGGGTCGGAACGTGGCGTGGCGTGGCTCTTATCGCCGCCCCTCGACCTGTTCGTGCAACTAGACTAAAGGTTTCCCACCTTAGAGCATAAGACTGTCGTATATACACTAGAAGGTGGCCACGGACTTCGATGCATTGATCGGCGAGTTCTCGACGTATTCGATGGGATGGTGATTGTCTGCCTTATAGTCGCCACCAGATGTCATGGTGGGTGAATGTGGGTGAGAGAATGTTCTCCGGGTCGGCTGGCGTCGGTGCGCCCGAAGTATGTGTGCTCCGGGCGGTTAATGACGTGCTGGCAGCTGAGACATGGCTACACACAGATATCCAATTCTCGTCACCACAAATAACTTGTCAGGCCATCAGGACCATTTGTGAATCTTGCCATCTTGTGGCCGACAGCTTCCATGCAGTATGGGGGTCTTCCAACGAAAAAAAAAAAGATGTTTCATTCTCAACTACCTAGCCCATGATACCCGCGACAGCAATCTAGCTATCAAGTCCAGGACAGTTCTCGCTCGTGACCGCAGTGATGTCGGTGTACGGAGAAGGATCCGTCCAGATGAGATTGAAGCTGCACGCGAGTTGACAGTCAGTGACGGCAGACCTTTTCTAGATGCCCTTCATCAGACAAGTCGACCACTTACCTATCATCCGGATACGTCGGTGCATCATCATCCCCCAACTCCTCCACGATATCGGTCAGCTCGCCATGCTCCCAGCAGATCAGGATGTTGCCGTCCCCGGTATAGTTCTCCACGACCTTCTTGACGCACTTAGCGTCGGTTTTGGCGCACGAGGTGTCGACGGTGATGCCCAGATCCTCCGCCAGCGGGAGCACGGTCAGATACGGGCGGTCTCGCTTGCCGTCTGGGGATGGTTAGCGAAAGGAACGATCGTACATCCATCGCTTACCGTGGATACGATAGAAGAAAGGGGCTAGGAGGGGAATAAATACCACTCTTCGGGGTCTCCGCCATGATATACTGGATGTTGTAGCCGGAATCGGCCCCGAAGACGTTCCGCAGACACTGGGCCCGCTCCACCCCCTGCGCGCTGAGCCCGGTGCTCCCGTCGCTGGGCTTCTCGCCGTGTCGGATGAGATACACGGTCGCATCGGCCAGGGCAGTGCCTGCGAGGATGCAGAACGAAAAGACGGACTTGACGAACATCGTGGGTGATGATTGTGTCGAGGTGCAGTGGTGTTCAATTCAAACCCAACCTTTTGCTTCGTGGGACGGGCGGGATCGGCCGGATGGCGCGGACTGTAACCGTACTTATAGGATCTGGAAACCGGATCTTGTTGCACTCAACCACGGAAATCCGCCCCCACGAAGCTTATGCATTGTCACCTGGCAACTCCGGACGAGGAGCATCGAGTCAGGGCTGCACGTGCGGGCGTTCATTGTCAACAATGGCTGTCGATCCAGGTGGAGGCCCTGCGGAGGTTGATTGGGGTATGATTGGTCAAGGGGTGTGAAATGCCGCTTGGCTTGGAGCTTAGCTTCACCATGGTCAGGTATTGAGTAGGCACCAGTGTACGTAGATCATGGTATTGAGTCAGGTTCTCAGTGACCGAGACTTGAAGATCGTGAGATGATTGGGTGTCTCAAAGAGAAGGAAAGCTGGAAAGATGGAGCGGGAATACTTAGGATATATTCGGATGGGCGGGTCGATCCGTCAGCCCAAAATTAGCCTGCCTATCGTCGATCTATGAGTAAAACCAGTCAGTGATCCTACGCAGTAAGTGACCACCTTTTGCCAATTGGTTCAAATAGGTTCTGCTGAGTCAAGCCTGTCAGCTCGTGCAAGCTGCCATACAAAACACGAGTCTCATCCCTGTCTAGATTCTGGGTAGCACGGGCAAGTGGCCTGATGTATGAGGCATCGACACATCCCTCCTGCCCCCCCGGCATTGTGTTCATCTATAGGTGTGACCAAAATACAATAAAGAATTTGAACAAATTACCCGTCCAGCTTCACTTGAGTCATTATCGGATTTTGTACAGTAGGAGATGATCATTATGTCGTAACACCCAAAAAGAAACATGCAATTCGCCTCAACCAAGTCCCCCCGTCGTCACCGCATCCATCAACCACGCGCTGTCCGACCCCGCGAAGAATATATCAAAGTCCCACAGGTCCCCCATCATCCCCAACATCTGGCTCGACAGTTGCGTCTGCTCGGGATATCCGTATTCTGGAGGGAGTGGCTGACCCGGGAGCGGCGGCTGCGAGTCGAGCAAGCCACCCTCGGCGGCTGAGGTGGTGGCTGTGGACTCCCCGAGTCTCGAGGCCCATGTGGCGCGCAGTCGCCGCACCATGACGCCCAGCTTATGGAACGGGTCCTTCTCGTGCTCGTCCCGCCGGAGACTGACGACCTGCTCTAACATGTCGCTGATCTGGTCGGCGATGAGGATCGCATCCGCCGTGCGGCGGACCAGTCGCGTGTCCCAGCCGGGGATGTCGGCAAAGGTCAAACGCGAGAGAGTGACCAGGCAGTGCGCGACGAGAATGCTTTGGATGATCGGGAAGGAGGCAAAAGTGCGGATAGGCGTTGTAAGAAGGCTGTCAAAGAAGGAGCGAACAGAGGTTAGGCATGCGCAGAGGTGGTCGAGCCGCCAGGAGTCGAGAGCACCGGGGGTATCGTTGGTTTCGGGATTAGGGTGGATGAGAGCCGTCTCGTATAGTGTAGTTTCTGCTTGCAAGATGTAAAATACGAGAGGATCTGCCTGAGGTGAGTATTGAATCACACTATGGATGGATAGGTAAACCCACTACTACTATTGAGGAGGGCGGAAGGAACGTCAGCTCGGAGCTGGGTGAGCTGGGTTTGTAAGCTGCTCATGTAGAAGGGCAGTGGTGCACGCGGAATGCCATTCGAACTTGAGTTCTCGTTCCACGGCCCCTCACGGATGCGCTCGACGAGAAGCCGGACACGCGCAAGAATTGCGAGGGTGGCGTCGTGTGGAGAGTCGGTGCTGGTTGAAAGAAGCTCGATGGACTCTGCCATATGAGGCGTCCATCGCATCACCTCCATGCGGCCAAGGAATTGAGCAATTCTGTGTAAAGAGGTTAGCATGCGACTGAGGCTAGTGGCGAACATAGAACGAGAAGGTCACAAGGGAGCATGAAGGCATTTACGTACACTGAGCTGATCACGAAGCAGCCCAGTACGGCTCGCCGCTCGTTCAGGGTTCTGGGGCGTGGTGCAGGTTGCTTCGGTGCTGGTGGCACAAGGTCATTGCATACGGGGGGTAGCATGGCGAGGTCACTCCGGACCGGACGATTCAAGCCCAGTTCACAGATGAGCGCGGTGGCTATTTGACAGTACAAGACCATGATCGACTTTGGAGGATAGCTTTGGAAAGAGATCCAGGCGATATGCACCAGCAATCCCTGCAACAGGTCCAGATTCTTGTCGCAGTCGACCATGGTAATCTGGGCCGCGGTCTGACGGATGTCGACGCAGCGCAAGGCCTGCTGCGCGGCATCTTTGGTCTCGGTGGTGAGAATGCAGCGCCAGAGAAAGGGAGAATCACGCTCCAGGTCAGCCGGTGTAGCCGTACTGGGAATATGTAGAAGGGGAAGACAAGCCAATTTGTCCGTTCGGAACGAATGCAGCATTGCCTCGGCTTCCGCTGGGCTGGGCGGGATGATGGCGGTGGGCGGAGAGTGACGCGGGCTAACACTACCGTCGGACTCGATCCCCGTCCCCGTGTCGGGAGTGCAGAGCGGATTTGCTGTACAGGTACGATCCGCGCCCTCTTCGCCCTCTTGATTACCAGCGGAGACGGGAAGATGCCGGTCTCCTCTTGGTCCTCCGGGCAGTTGTCCGGATGATTGGAGCAAAGACATTAGCCCATCCATCTTCTGCTCCAGCTGAGCGGCCTTGGAAAGCCGCTTGGGACGGCGACGGCGCGATCCAGGACGACATTCCTTTCCCAAGCGATGACATCTGGAATACATTAGCGGTGGATTGATCCGTCGTCCGTCTGCAGATAATTTCACTTCCACTCACCTCTCACACGGGGAATCTCGACCCCGAGGGATGCAGCGAACCTTGGCGCGAGCACACGTACTACAGGCGTGGCCATACGGAATCGATAAAGGGGAATCCCCGTCCATGACAGACCAGAGGTACGGTACAGTACACGGACTGTCTACAAAGTTGATGACCTGAATGAACCGAGTAGAAACATTTTGAGGGATGTGTGATACCTCCTTCACTGCTGTCTGACAATGATGATGGTTACTGCGTGAACGGGGTTGGAGGGGATTTCCTCCCGAATGCCGAGCGGGGAACAACAACAACAGCAACAAGGCAACTGGAGGGAGCGGAATTCCGTTTGTATCACGTGATGTCAGCCCCCCAAGCAAGGAGGAGATGCAAAGTGTGCCAACTATGCAAAGCATGCAAAGCGTGCAAAGCACATTCGGCCGTGCTGGCAGCGTGCCGTGCAGGGCAGACCATTAGACTGTTGCCACCAAGTGATAGCCTACCGCGGTGACTAGTCTCCATTACGATAATCCCGATAAGAGTACATGGTCATCCGTTTTTGCAGTATGTAGTATGATCTGGCACGGTGGCATGTAAGGGGTTGATCTACAGATGAGCAGTTGTCAATCATGTTGGTGTTATCTTTTGACTTGTTGGGTAAAATATCGGCATTGATTCGGCTCCGGAGATGGGCGCAGTAAGGCTAGCTACCGTGCATAGGCAAGTTGTTATTAGATTGGCAGAGGCACGATTGGCAGGCAAAGATGGAAAGACGATCCGCTGGTGGCCGTTCCAGAAAACAGCCCAGCCTGGAGACCGGCCTCGGCGAAAGCGCTGCAGATGCCGAGAGGGAGAGGGAGAGGGAGAGGGAGGAAAATAAAGACCCGGGCCGACTTGACTCCGCCTCAAGGCTCCACGGTCGCACCACCAAACGAATATCAATTGGCAAACACTTCTGCGTAATGCCTTCACTGATAAGCCACCGCTCCAAATTGCAGGTTGGCTTGGATCGTCTTGTCGTCTCGTCTCTCCCGCGCGTCGTAGCAAAACATTAAGTAACAGAATCGGGAGACACGGCCCCGGCTCTTCCCCAAAATACGAGACCATCAGCGCTTCCCCTCATTTGTGTGAGACCTGCTCTGGAGGTTAAAAGGTTAAGCTGCAGGCGAATGGGGAAGAATTCCGCGTGATGTGAGATCCATTACTCTAGGCTGGGTTGCGTGGTTCGCAGGGGAACGTGTCAAGCTGTAGTCCTGTCCTGCAATTAAACTTCTTGTGCGACCACGAAGTGGATGGATAGTGCAAAGTAGGGCGTCGATCGAAGGTGACGACTCCAAAAAACTACAGAGGAATGGGTTTAGCCTCAATCCTTTCAGGACACAAATCCTGGGGAAGGTTCGGCGTTACAGTGCTTGCTTGCTCACTGGCCAGCCAGCGCCGCCTCTTAATAACTTAGTCAGAGCCATTGCCTAATGCAAATCGGGTCATCTGGAGTCAATCTTGGCTCAGCGTTGGCGCTAATCCGCTTTCGATCTCATCTCCAATTCAACGTCACACACCCTAACCTGAATCAGGATTCTAGACGGTATGCCCTGCGCTTGATTGGCTGCTGCAGCGGATGGCGGATGCTTGGGCTCCACGTGGGAGGCAAAAGTTGAGCCAATCTGGCAAAGTCTCCGAATTTCTTCTTTCCGCCACCAAATCTTCTTAGTCAAGGTTTGCTGGTCCCGTTGCCTGATCCGGATTATCACTGTATCAGTTCTTGCCCGGATTCATCCGACCGTGTGCTTGGGCTGCGGTGAAGCCTGATCGTCCACCGTCAGCGGTACTGGCCCGGAAGGTCATCGACTCGAGGAAGAGAGAGGAATCGAAAGGCAACACAGCGCAAACCACGGCGGAACAATTATCAATCCTACCTGGCGGGTCCTGCAGCCTTCCTCCCACCGGAGCCCTCCCAGACACTTCCCTCCCCCCCGCTGTCGCCGCCCATTATTATTCAAAACCCGTTTGGCTTCCCTCTCGCCTGCCACTTTTCTACTGCCTTCGCTTCCTCTTCTCTCGTCTTCTTCCTCTCTCCATCCTTCCTCCCCATCCTCCCCATCCTCCCCTTCCTTCAACAACAGCCATCAGGCATTTGGTGCGACCTGGGCAAAGTCGAATTCAACTTCACCTTTTCCCCTCTCCACCTTTAGCCTGTATCCTGATTGTTTGACATTTTCTGCATATTCTCGTCATGGCTTACGGTGACGACATCGTTGGGGACCGCAAATCCCAGTCCGGGATGGACTTCGAGAACGAGAAGAAGGGGGATCTCTACTCCCCCCAGTATGAGGGCGATATGGTCGACAAGATGAGCGACACGGAGCGGAACATTGTCGAGGCTGGCATTCAAAAATACAACCGTCTGGGCTGGAAACGCCTGACGGTAGTGATGATTGTCGAGGCCATTGCCCTGGGTAGTTTGTCGATTCCCTCCGCCTTCGCTACGCTGGGGATGGTGGCCGGTGTCATCACCACGGTTGGCCTCGGATTTGTTGCCATTTACACCAGTCACATTATCGGTCAAGTCAAGCTTAAGTTCCCCGACATTGCACACTATCCCGACGCTGGCCGCCTGATGTTCGGTCGTTTTGGCTACGAGATTATCTACGTCATGCTCGGTCTGGAGTTGCTCTTTCTGACTGGCTCGCACTGTCTGACCGGTACCATCGCCTTCATTGACATCACCGAGAGCAGTGTGTGTTCTATTGTGTTTGCTGTGGTTTCCGCCATCCTCCTGCTTCTCTTGGCTATTCCGCCCTCATTCGCTGAGATGGCCATTTTGGGCTACATCGATTTCATCTCGATCATTGTCGCAATCGGTATTACTATGATCGGCACTGGTGTTGAGAGCACCAACCAGCCTGGGGGATTGTCGGCGGTCAACTGGTCTGCTTGGCCCAAGGACGACATCAGCTTCACCGACGCTTTCATTGCCATCACCAACATCGTCTTCGCCTACAGTTTCGCCCTGTGCCAGTTCTCCTTTATGGATGAGATGCACACTCCCAAGGATTACATCAAATCGATCTGGTCCCTGGGTATTATCGAGATTGTCATCTACACCTTGACCGGTGCGATTATCTATGCCTTTGTTGGCCAGGACGTCGCCAGCCCGGCTCTCACCTCGGCGGGCCACACTCTTAGCCGTGTTGCGTACGGTGTCGCCCTCCCCGTCATCTTCATCAGTGGTTCGATCAACACGGTGGTGCTGGGTCGTATGATCCACGGTCGCATCTTCAAGAACTCGCCCATCCGCTTCATCAACACCAAGATGGGCTGGATCACCTGGTTGGCCGTGATCACCACCATCACCGTGGTCGCCTTCATTGTCGCCGAAGTGATCCCCTTCTTCTCCGACTTGCTGTCCATCTGCTCCGCCCTCTTCGTCTCCGGCTTCACCTTCTACTTCCCCGCGCTCATGTGGTTCATGCTCCTGCGCGAGGGCAGCTGGTTCACCCCGAAGAACATGATGCTGGGTGCTCTCAACCTGATCTGTCTGTTGATTGGACTGATCACTCTCGGAGCGGGCACCTACGCCAGCGTGGACGATATTGTAAGTTCATTGCCCTTTTCCGTTTTGACTTCCCCTTGCTAATTACTCTCCAGGTCAACAACTACAATTCAGGCAGTGTTCGTGGAGTCTTCACCTGCGCGGCTCCCGAATAAGCGAATCCCCCTCATCATCATTTCTGCTAGCCGTCTCGACCTAGACTTAGCGTTGTTGCATTTTCTCTTTTTCCTTTATTTCGATACATATTGGCGTTGCAGGCCCGGGGCCTGTGGCGACATCTCTTGCATGGTGTTGCTGTGACTCTGCGAATACCCAATTTGCGGACTGTATATACGTTTTTCTTTTTGGACATGATTGTGAATATGCTGCATCTGATGTACTATATGTCTATGATTATGATTATATATTATAAGAGCGGATACTCTTCTCTGATTTTTTTTATCTCCAATGTAACGGTGATCGAGTGAAATGAGGGGGGTAAGCAGACAAAGCATTGGCTGTGCCCTGATGTCATGCTGCTGCGGGTTGATGTCAATCCGGCCCGACCGGAGCAGAAGAGGGAGCATGAAGTCAGCGGGGGAGGTTTCCCTCGGGTCAGATGGGGTACTCGCGGGGTAAAGTCCGAGGTGTGCCTCTTCTAGAAGATGGAGGGTATTTGGTATTTCCGCATGCGAATGCTTGGTTGGTTGCTTGGTCGGTGATCCGTGGACGCGGTGGGCGGCCTTAAGATGCGGTAGAGTTCATAGCACAGCCCGGGGTATATATAGAGTCCAATGCGTCAGGCAGGAATCAGTAGATCAAGTGTCTGCTGACGTTCTCTTCGTATTTATATCGATAGCAGTCTTAAGTTGTAAGACACTTGTGAGCTGTCTAGTTAGCTACTCCGCCTTGCTGAACTCATGGGAAATCCGGCTTCTTCAACCCGGTCATGTGATGTGATGTGTCAGATATAGACTTGTTCCACTCCATACATCATCCACATAAGGACTACCCCTTTTCATGTTAACAGCGTTGCACCAGTTAGTTAGTGCTAGCTCTTAGATCACTCTCTATAGCTTCTTGAATTCCACCCTTTTGACTTGCAGTTTAGATCCAGAGTTCCAGTCAAGTCAGTTGATGCCTGTCTGAGTTAACAGCATGAGCCAACACCCAAGAAGTTGTTCATCCAACCGAGAAAACAAGCTCAAGCCTTCCGGAACTACCGGGAGCGCCTCCGCATTGCCCCCTAACCTCTGATGCCTTCCCGCGGGGCTGCAGCCACCAGCAATCCATCTCACTTTCCCCAAAGGGTCCAGTAGCTCACTGATCGACGTCCACTAGTCTCCATCTCCCAAACACCACCAATGACAACGCATCTGCATCCATCCGATGTCTCAAGCTGATCTATTTCGGTATCAGGCCGCCATCTCTGCATCCCAGCGATGCTGTCACGACCAGTGCTATAAAGCTGGGTGTATCTACCACAACATTGCTGCCGCTGCAATCCAACCCATCATCATCCAGAACAACAACAACCACCCATCTTAACCCCTCTTCCATCCCGTCATCCTTCACAATGAAGACCTTCGTCGCAGCAGTCACCTTCCTAGCCACCGCCCTGGCCCAGAACGCCGCCATCGGCCTCCCCAAGTCCGGCCAGACCGTCCAGCCAGGACAGAGCCTCACCGTCCAAGTTCAGCGTCCTGTACGTTTCTCTTCCCCTTACCCCCCTCTACAGGCAATATGAAAGGACAAGCTCATGCACTAGTAACTTGTGGCGTCAACCATGATTCACGCAGCAGACCAGGCCTTGAGACCTGTCGCATGGCGTGAGTGGCAGTCTGCGGCAGATGGCAGGCCCATGTGCGCGTGGTTATGTCACGGATTGATAGGGGAAGGTGTATGATTGAGGGAAAATTGATATCTGTCGACCAGTGATGAGACAGAACCATGATTAGGCTCGGTTTCGTCAGGGAATTCGATGTAGCTACCTCGGGTTAGGTGACAGCCCAATGATCAAGGATGCATGGAGTGGGCGTCAAATAGCGGCGGGTGAGGAATGCAAGCATGTCAATGCACTGAGCGAATCGGCGGCGATTTTCGGCCTGTTGCAAAGCACAGCCAAAGCACACGCGCAAACCTTGGCCAGTAGCCAAGCCCTTCTCGATCGGCGCTTCCCCGCTTGTCTCCAGAGGAACGGCAGGAATGAAAGGAAAAAGAGACTCACTCTGAATCATGAGGCGTCTTTTGCCCGATGTCCTCCGCATCGGGCGTCTTTATGCTCGGTCATCCATCATTCATCACCAACATGCATCAAAGAGAATCTGGCAGTGATCGGCAATAGAGACAGAATCAAGTAAGGTCAATAAGTCATTATCATGTTGAAATCGCTCATCCACTATGTATGTACAGGGCACACCGGGCAAGACAACACCTCCAAGTCCGATCCGCCATGGAACTTCTGACGGGGATGACTCTGATTCTGCGCGGCATCAGAACGATCGACTTCCAGAATACAACGACGGTGATACAGGTGTCGACAAGCGAAAACCAAGACTGGCCCAGCGGGCTGCTCGGAGTCCTCCGCAGTCGCATTCGCGTCCGCGTCCGCGTCCGCATGGCCTTCCAGCAGGTGTAACGGCTGACCCACGTCGGCCGCTTTACCTTTCCCCCGCGCGGTCGCAGGATCATTTTGCTCGTGGAGCCGTTTTGCAAGACGGGTTTGCTGCGCCTTAGCTTGTTTCTGCTCCCAGGCCTGCCAGTACTGGGGTCCGACTCCCGGTCCCCAGATGCGCTGTCGGCAGATCTCACATACCTGGCCTCGTGGTCGCCATCCCCGCTGGCGCAGTCGTGTTACCTCATCCACGTGCACGAATAGGTCCCGATCCAGCATGCCGTTGGCAAGAGCCAGGAGTGATTTTTCGTAAGTATAGGCGGAAAAGATCGAGGCCAGTACTGCGCGCAGCTCGAGCAGGGACGGCGACCAGCTTGCAGCCCGCGTGAGGAAGGCACGCAGGATTCGAAGGAAAGCGACATCACTGCGCTCGCTGGTTGACGACCCTCCACTCCGCACCGTGCTGGCAAGCAGGGTGGTGAAAACCTGCTGGACCAACGAGCGAACAGCCGGCATCAGAGGAGTGGAGGTTGCCGTCACTGAAGCATCGCCAGTTTCGGAGGGCTTCTTGCGCATTAAGCCAAAAACACCACTGGCAATGCGCACCACGGCTTCTATCAAATCGAGCCACAAGGATTCATCGAAAGAAAGGGGCTGGTCGACTGCTCCTTTGCTGAAGCCATTCTTCTCGACTGCCCGAGGATTCTTGGCTGTGTTCGTTTGGCCCCGACAGAGCCAAGTACCGACTCGTGTGTATTTCTCTAATGATTCTACAAGGTGGTTAATGGCGTCGGTAGTACTTGCAGAGTCCGGATCGTCGTTGATGCTCTGGAGAATGCCCACCAGGCCGGACTCAAGTGTCCCCAAATGCGCGATGAGGCGGTCCATAGCCGCTCGAATCTGGCCTTGACGAGCCAACAAGATCACCGCGGCGTCCACTACGCCACTCTCCTCCAATGAAGGCAGCAGCTCCTCTAGGCGTACATCACCGATGCGTAAATCATCCACAAAGTTGGCGACTTGAGAGGGATTATACCTGCAGAGAAGTTGCACGTAACGCTCGATCATCCAGTTCTCGATGGGCTTGGAGGGTCTACTCTCCGTCACGGACTGCAGTGCCATTCCCACCACAACGGCCAGGTATTGGTATTGCCGATAGGGATCTTGCTGTAGGGCATTTAAGAAGGTTTCGTGTGTCTCCGGGGCAAAGGTATACATGGTCTGCGCTGCTCGTTCGACATTAATCGCTGCAAGCTGACCGGCATGAGCTTTGACCACATCAAGAAGATCCCGCTGTTGCTTCTTGCCTAAACCGGAGCCAGGGCGAAGGCAATCTTGTAGGCAGGTAAAGACGGCTTCTTGCTCATTGAGATCTTCAAGGTAGGTCAGAATGAGTTCAGGGTATTGTTTTTCCACGCGATAAGTTGATTTCAAAATCCGGAGGAACCGAGCCTCCTTGAACAGCGGTATCATCCCTTGTATATCTGGAGGTTGATAGATGGACAACAGATACTCAGCGCTTAGCTCACAATCATCCGCCATTGCGGGGTCTGGGTAGCGGCAAAGTCGCTCCAGAACTTGTTGAAGCGTGCTGCCCGAGAGAAGAATGTATTGAGGGTATTTCGGAAGATTGCGAGCAACAAACATGTCTAACCGAATGGTATCCAAAGCATCAAAGGAGTCCGAAGTCATTATCTGTAGCAATACACTGATCAGATACTGCCGGTTGACAGACACTCCGTGTGATGGGGCTTCATCTGGTTCCTGATCATTCAAAAAACTATCTTCAAAAGCTTCATTTAGCATGCTCATGAAGCTAGCTGTGTCGAACCTCAGCATGATCCGCAAGTCCGGGAACGTCTCAAGGGCTTCCCCTTGCCCTGTGACTGGCGGGTTACCGGAGAACAAATGATCGTATAGGGTTGCTTTGGCTCGGTTGGCCTCCGTCTCGTCCATATCATCGCCAGTGGGATAGACCCGGCCTGTGAGAACAAAGGAAAGGTAGGGAAACACTTTCATCGCGTTCGTATATTGCGCAATCCCGTTAGTAGAGTCTCCATTAGTCAGAGCCCCCTGGCTTGGTATGAGCCCAAGGAGCTCCTGCAAAGGGCCCACGTAGTCCCCGAGACAGCGATTCCAGACATAGATGAAGGCGTCGTAAAGATTATAATGCTTGCAGAGCGTGGTGGTTTGGTCAATGTCCATCGTGGCTGTATCCAGCAGGCAGATAATTTCTTCCAATCTGCTGGCGGCGTGGTTCTTCGCGTAATGGTTGATTAAAGCCTTGACCGCAGTGGGAGGGAGTGAGCGGACGGTACCCTCAACGATGTATGATTCAAGTGCATCAAGAAAGATGCCTTGAGAGTCACTCTCTTCAAACCAGGTGAACACTTCATCCCACAGATAATCTAGTTCGGACATGCAAACGCAGGCAGATATTGACACCTCGGCCAGCTTCTGGAGCTGTATGGTGTCGAGCCTTTCATTATTCGCTTCTGCGTTGCGGCCAAATGCGTATTTGAGCGACGCTGAAATCATTTCCAGGAGCTTTTCTCGTACTAGAGGCTGCCTCAGTGCGTCCTCCTCGGGAAGACCAATTGTAAGCTTCTCGGCGCTGCCTTGATAGTAGGATGTCGCCACTTGGATTGCCCCGATAAAATCACCCGCCTCCATGAGGGCAAGTAACCTATCAGCCCAATTTGAAAGACCCCCAATAAGAAGTTCATTATAGCCCAGAAGGAACAAACGGCCTTTGTAAGCGCGAAAGCTCATAAAGAACGCATCCGCTACTACACCATGCATCGTTGTGTCCTCTTCATTGAACTGCTCAACCAGACTATGGAGCTGGGCAGAGAATAAGTCCACATGATAGATGTGTCGGTTGAGCAAATCAACCGCTTCTGTGACACGCATAGTGTGATCCTCAAGGATAAGCAGCTGTTGAGTTATGGTGAGCACGGCCATCACGGAGCGACTCAACCATTGAACAGCTACAATCGCCTCATCGGCCTTCCATCTGCTTCGTGGTCTGAACTCCAGGGCCGGAGGTCGGTCCCTGTTTGGAGATTCATCCGCTTCAACCTCGGAAACATCCAGCACTGTCAGTACATTAGACCAACAATAGACAAGCTTTGTCCGCGATATTTCAGTTTCCTTCCCTTTCAGGCGAATTGCCGGGAACCAGGCTAGCGCTCCAGTCATCGCGCCATGAGCGGCAACCTCCTTGGGACGAGGCGCCTTGTGTTGGGTTTGCGCAACGGGCGTCGTAGACACTATAACCAGGAGATAAGGGGTAAGCATAGCAACCAGTCCCAGCGAGTCCGTCGGCTGCTCAACGTTGCCTAGGGGAAGAGGTGAAAAAGCCAGGACTGAGCTGGGCTTTCGTGGCCGAAATCCTTCCGCATAAATCTGAGGGTAGCGGCCCAAAATCCTACTCGTTTTCACCGTCCGTCCGACTGAACCCATACCACGCGTGGCCAGATGCGAAAAGGCCATCCCTCGTTTATCTGCAGAGACCAGTGCGGTACGTCGAGTCCCCAGAAACCCCACATGTATGACAGGTGATCCGGCAATATGACCATCTGAGGGTCGGTTTTCAATCAGATTGGCCGGTATCGGGGGTATGTGAAGGAAGGGCCGTGCAGACCGCGAGATTTCCCAGGTGAAGATGTCACCCGATTGATGACCTCCGGCAACTGTGGTGTGGTCCGCGGACAGCGCCAAGGATGCAATTGCGCCGCATTCGATAGCTAGACACCCACGCTTAGTACGTGAACAGCGCCAAGAAAGGCTATGTTGAAGCTTACCTTTCGTCCCCAGGCCAATGATGGTCTTGAGGTTCTGCTGGTAGTCAAAGACGAGGATTATACCCTTGGAGGTTCCAACCACGATTGACGTTGAGACCACCATGCAAGTCGGATGGCCGAAATTCCGCTTTCCAGCTTCCGAGAACGCCTGGCCGTTGATCTTTCTGAGTTTGGTCCACCGCACGACATCCCAGGGTCCCTGGGGAGTGTCGGGTCCCGAATCGACGGTTCCGGGAGACAGGTGGCTCGTGACGGAGGATTTGCGCGAGTGCAAATGCGCTAGGAACGGCGAAGCCGATCGGAAGTTTCCAATTGAGTTAGAAGATAATCTGGATTGAAACCGAAGGTCGAACGGGCGATGGGAAGGACTGGGACTGAGTCGAGGAGAGCCACGGAAGCCCAACGCGCTGCTGCTTCGCGACGATAGGATGGAGTCCTATGGCAATCAATCAGCGGAGAACCACGGCCGCGAAACGGCAGCGGCGACGCACATGAAGGGAAGGAGTGTCGTCGGGGATCGAGAGAGTCTCGTCAACACTACCGGGAGCGCCGGGCTGCCCGGAACGCGGTGAAGAGGGAAGGTCGGTCGCATCGGGGTCAACAGCAGGAATTGGTTTGACGGCGGGGGCATGATTCTCGCTGGTTAGATCGGGCAGATCTTCCTCGGCGTAAGCCATTGAGTCCGACGCCGACTCTGGATGGGTGTGAACATGGTCGGGGATGCCGTTGCGGGTCGGCGGGGAGAGTGCATCGTCGTCTGGTCCCAAGTCGAGCTCATCCTCTCGTGCCCAGTCATTACTGGTCTCGATCATGGAGCTCATCGGCAGCAGGATCGAATGACCATCTCTCCCAGCTTGTTTTTGTGCAAGACCCAGATATTAGTGGGAGGTGGGAGGTGGGAGGTGGGAGGTGGGAGATGTCGTGATGAGGGGGGTTGGTGAAGGTATGACAGGGGACCGAAAGGAGGAGGAGGAGGAGGAGGAAGGTGTGGTGAGAGAGTACGGTTAAGGTAGACAAGGTGGGAAGATGGAAGGTGCCGCAGGCAGGCAGGCAGGCAGTGGTTCACCAGCACTAAACTAGAGGCGGTGCTGGGGGCGCTAGTTTTCTGGCAGTGTACGGAGTACTGTGTATGTACTGTGTATGTACTGTACCCGTTACCTTAGCTGGGAATAACTACTAGGTAGTCATGAGGAAGGTGAAGAATCAACAAGGATCACATCGATTGCTTGCTGTTGAGGTTAAGATCAAGAAGCGAAACAGCCTGGAGCATAAGGTAAGTTACTGTACGGAGTAGACAAGACTCCCCGACGGAGGTCAGCACCGCCCACCTGCATCCACTTCCACTTGCTGCCTTGCTGCCTTTATCCTTTATCCTTTACCCTTTATCTGGGGTGCCTTAGGCAGGGATATTTTGGCGTGGAGATCAGAAACATTGACATTAATAACTACTCTTGTCGACTTTAACTTTAACTATAGTATTGCTAGCTATACACGGGAGGGCAAGATAGTACTCATTTGTTTGGATAAGCACATAACATGGGACTCCATTGTTGTACATTCTTTGACTGGGCTAACCCTAGTTGTGGCTAACAGTACGGAGTACATCAGGAAGTACTTGTCTCGCCTGGCATGATACCAGATGGCTCGACAGGATCATGAGGGTACTATATCCCAGAGCAATTAACTTAAGCAATGAATGAATGGTTCAACGTTGCGAGAACTCGCACGTGCGCCGCCGACTCTATACAACTAGCTCCAATTTCCCCTCTCGACAAGGGGGGGTTGTCTCCAGGCTATTGATCCACCCATTCCGCGCACTCCTTCCTGTACTCCTCATCACAATCACATTCTTGCTGAAGAGTCTAATCTATTTTGTCTAGGTAGCTCACGGCCCAGCGTCACAAGCGTCGGGATTGCCCTCACCCTTCAACTACCGCATCCCATGATTTGGTCATCCAGCACGATAATGTGTAACTCGGGGAGAATATATAAAACCCCGAAAATCCCAATAACTTCCGCAGCTCTACTCTTCTTGATAGAAGTAGCTCGTTCTGGTTCAAAATGTTCTTCTCACCTGTTGTTCTCGGCTTAGCCGCGACTACATCTCTCGTGCTTCCCGTCCTGGCCCAGTCAATCTGCAACGGTTTGTCGGCCTACTGCGACCGGATCTACTCGAATGTAACGCAGGTTGGCGCCCATGACAGTCCTTTTGTAGGGCCCCTTCTTCAGCAGAACCAAAACATCGACGTCACCGAGCAACTGGACCTTGGGATTCGTTTTCTTCAAGGCCAGACGCACCAGTCGATTGACAATGAAACGATCCTCCTTTGCCATACATCATGCCTCCTTGAATACGCCGGGAGCTTGGAGTCGTACTTGACCACCGTCAAGACCTGGCTGGACGACAATCCAGATGAAGTCGTGACCTTGCTCCTGACAAATGGTGATAGTCTACCAGTCACTCATTTCGCCGAGGCATTCGAGAGCGCGGCCATCGCCGACTATGCATTTGTGCCGAAGTCATCGCCAAACACTCTAGCCATCAACGCCTGGCCAACTCTGCGAGAGCTGATCGGTAATGGCACGCGATTGATAACTTTTCTAGGTACGTGATCATCCTCAGTGATCGCAACGATGACTTACAGGCTCGATCAGATTATGGTGCCGATGCCACAGCGGTTCCTTATATCCTCGATGAATTTGCTTACTTTTTCGAAACGCCATATGATGTGACCGATGCCTCGTTTCCCAACTGTAGCATTGATCGGCCGTCGGGGGCTTCAGCGACCGGTCGGATGTACATTGTTAATCACTTTTTGGATATCGATATCCTGGGCATCTTGATCCCAGATCGGGAGCATGCAGCCGAGACCAACGCAGTGTTAGGCGAGGGCAGTATTGGAGCTCAAGCCGATTTATGCCTTTCCATTTATGGTCAGCTACCAAACGTTATTCTGCTGGATTTTGTCGACCAGGGTCAGCCGATTGCCGCCCAAAGTCTGCTCAATGGGGTGTGAAAACGAGGTTTTCTATGCTGATGAGCATCGCTGGTCGGTGTGTTGCTCACAATCGTATTTTCAAGGTAGTCAAGTTCTTTCTGATGAAGTAAGCTCGGTGTCTATTCAGCACTGCAGTCGTTTTGGATGGTTTGATAGAAGCAATCTTAACGGGTCGACCATGCCCAGTGTCCGAAACTGCCGGCATTGGCCGATCGTCGAATGTGAACGACTCTTGTCAGTTTATGTCCAAGTATATGCAATCTGGTTCGGTGGATTTTTTATTCATCTATCTCCACCTGCATCTCGCGTTCTAGGTTGATTGGAGCTAAGATTAGCGTCATATCATTGTAAACCAAGGAGTTGACTTGACGTACCCCAGACCTTGTTGGCCGACCCAATGATGATTTCTGCTTTGGCTAAAAGCTTCTTCGCATAACGCTCGGCTTCTGCAGGATGAAGCTGGCTTTTCTGGGCTTTGCGCGGGTTTACCTAGTTCATTATGAGCATCTTACGGTTGGGGGGTAACAAGGATTTGGCAAACCATCATCAAAATAGGGACCAGATCCTTCGAGTCCGCTTCTGCCAGGGCCCTCAAATTCCGGTAACCATTTTCTCGGAGTAGCCTGGCAGTCCAACCCTTGACATACGTAACCTGTGCCATTTCGAGTAGGTCAGCCCGGGCCCCAGCCTCTAAGCGATCCTGCATATGATCCAAAACTGCAGCCAACATTCCCCAACCCATGCGTTGACAAAATTTGACAATGCCTGCAGCAAACCCGTGGCATTGCTGTGCCAGGCTCTGGACAGAGCCCCGTGGTATCTGGTACCGAGATGCGATAACTGACAACGGAACCTCATTGCTCAGATCACGAAGCTGAAATGCAGTATATGCCCGCTGATAGATTCTAGCTTGCTTGATCTGCTCTGGTGAATTTTCTTTCAGCGACCCGCCGCTCTGGGCCCTGTGAGCTGTTAGCGCCATGAAGTCCGAATACCGTGAAAGTCGGGAATCCATCATACATGTAATTCACAAATCCAGGTTGGACGCCAACAAATTGTAGGGCACGCAGCCCACTTTCATCCAGATTATCAAGCTGATCTCGAAAAATGCGCCAATCGATGTGAGTCCCAGCAGCTAATTGGAGGGGCGTAAACATGTAGAATATATGCATATCGCCATCCATGACGAAAGCTTGCAGAGCCCGTTTCAACTCTTCATGGACAAATAAACCATCTTCGGGTGCAAATGCGGACGCGACCACAGCCTGTCCAAGCTGTGTCGCTGAATATGATGATCCATCATCATCAACATGCACGAGTTCTTCCTTGACCAATTCTTGGAGTGCAGATTGCATGATACTATAGGCTAGCTTTCTGTCCACTGTTCGGTAAAGCAAGGTGCACCTGACATATTCCTTGATTGCGTCATACCCGGATACGAGTCCGGTAGCGAGGGCTTCTAAGAGGGCCCTTGTACGTCGTCAGCAGCAAGCCTTGAAGGGAGCTGAAGCCACGGGCATACCTTTTGAGGCCTCTCTTCTCTGGAGCTAGGCAGCTTTCAATGGCCGGCATGTCGGCTTCGAGAAGGTCACAGACAGCTTGTAGGTCACTATTGCCACATATGAGATACGTCTCGCCCGCTTCGTCCTTTCCCTTGCGACCGGCTCTTCCGCACATTTGTCGTCTTTCTTGGTCAGCCCGCGCTACTATTGATTGGGGAGAGTACTCACAGCATGGCGGGCCCGACGAGTTCTCGGCCCATGCGTGCCCCATTGATCAAAACCCGTCTGGCGGGTAGATTGACGCCAGCGGCCAAGCTGCAAGTCGCTATAAGCACTCTGAGAGCACCCTGGTCATAAGCCTGTGCAATCAGTTCGCGCTCCTCAGTCGTCATGCCTGCATCTACCCGATATTTCAGCCTTGGTTCTGAGCCCCAGTATGAGGTATCCTTACGGTGAAAGCCGACGCCTCTAACGAGAGTATTTTCAAGAGCAGGGTCCAGGCCGCTGGGAAGACTCCGGAGTTCAGCTACAAGGTCCAGTCGTTTGTTCAAGTCTTCCGTGTTCTCCCCGGGGGCTGGCATAGCTTCACTGATGATCGCCGCTTGGATCTGGCAAGCCTGTCGACTGCCACAAAATACCAAAGCACCATACCCAGCTGATGCCGTGTCAATGGCCAAGGCGACTGTCGCGTTTGTCATGGCATTCGCAAGTTCTCGAAAGGTTGAGGGAGCAACGATGCGATGAGGAGGCATAGTCTCAACGAGAGATTGCGTTGGAGCCGACTTCAGTCGTGATATTGTCTGAAACAATTGCCTCGAGGTTGCGGCGGGATATATCGCATTCTCGTAAACGAGGTATTCGTCAATCGGAACCGGGCGGTAAGTTGATACGTAGTAAACTGCATTCATCCACTCCGCCAACATCTCGGTATTCTAGGCCTATGTCAGGGTGACGCTGCGCATGGCTGAACGGTACTTAGTAGCTCACCGATAGTGTAGCACTCATCCCGATGATCTGGATGTTCTGTCGCAGGAGCAGCAGTTTTGTAACCATCAATTCCAGAAGGTATCCACGGTGCTCATCGTCAAGCATATGTAGCTCATCTAGAACAACTACGCCCAGTTCCCCGATACTACATTCTTCAATGGCAGTGTTGATCAGGGAGTTCGCCTTGTAAGATGGCCTGGTTAGCATCCAAAACTTATGGGAGAAGTGCTCTGGGACTAGTAGAGGATATTGGCCACACCTTCTCGATGGTACTGACGGCAATGTCCGTGTCAGCCCAAGACGCAGCAGTTCTGCTTCCCCCAAAGTAGCCTGTCACACGAATCGACTTTTGTAACTTGCGCCAGCGCTGGTGATATGGTCTCGTATTGTCCACCTTATCGTCGGCGTCGCTGATGTTTTTCTCAACATCTTGCACGAGACGTCTTAGCCACTTCAGTTTCTCTTGCACCAGCGCTACATATGGAAGGACCAGAATTGCCTTGCGGCCCGGGTTATCGACGATGCGCTTAATCATCAGAACGTCAGCGACAAGCGATTTTCCTCCACCGGTGGGGGCAGTATACACCAGGTGTCGGCTGCCATCGAGCAGTCCTGGAGTCAGCAGGCACGATGCTTGCCATTGGTATATGTACTTAAGTCCGATAGCCGCCCAATTTGCGGCTAAAACGGACGGCAGTCCGTACACAGGGTTGCTCAGAGACAACAGAGGATGATCGGCAGAGTCTTCATCGGCACTTCGCAAAGAACGAAGCGGTGGATCTCTATGGGGGACATTGGCTGCAGCCGAGCGAATATCACTGGCAACTAAACGACCTCTAGGCAGTTCTAGCGAAGGCCTTATGAAATCTACCGGTTGATTGGCCGATTCACTGAAGTTGGCAGGCTGCTTTGCACTTGAAAGCGGGTTGTTGTTGCCTGTGGAATGCTCTGCAGGTCGCTTCTGTCCAGCCACAGCAGCTACGTCGTATGTGTTCTGGCGTGCGATGTCGACGGAAGTCTGGAAGCCGTAGGTCTGGAGAGACTGTCCAGATGGCGCAGACATGCCTTGCGATGAGATGACTATTGTTTGAGATGAGTGAGAGCTATAGTATGAGATCCCATGGGTGACAGCTCGGCTATATAGAATGTTTAGAATGTTTCACAGATTCATTGACGCGGGTAGGGGTGGGGAATAGGTGTATGAGTGGTTCAAATGCCAATGATCAATCTTCTTTCTGCCAAAGAACCAACAGAAGACTTGGTGGTGACAAATCAGCTCAAAGTGAGATAGATAACTACCTAGTAGTTATCAGGCGATGGAGTTGGGTGAAGAAGTAAAGATCAATCGCCGGCTCGGGGAGCGTAACCAAATAAAGTACCAAGAACGCGCGTGAGTTGCAACGCGCTCAGATCGGAAACTGCATCCCCGACGGGGAGACTTTGAATGGAACTTGGAAGTTGAGCCCGCGGCGGGGTGGGCCATATCTGCTGCTGCCTCAGGCTGGTTGGTAGCACTAAGTACCTACCTATAGACATACTCAATACTCAGTAACTTAGACTGTACGGTATGTATTGTAACCACCAACCACCAACCACCAACTAAGTAAGCCATGATCCCTCCTGCACAAGCCAGACCCGACCGCCGCGGAAACGTTCCTGGATCGTCTTTACCCGCTAATCGGAGCCCTGCTGATCCGCCCATTGCTAGGCTGCTAGCACTGCTAGTCTAGCCGACAGCGGCATGCGTTTGCATCATTGTCTGGCTGTCTCTGTGTCTGTATCATAACATTACCGAGGTTTTGTACAAGGTGAGGCTAACTGATTACTAGGTAACTTGACAGTCGCCAGGAGACTCCTTGGCTCTTAGCTCCATCGTCGTCTAATACAAGATGATGCACTCCGTATTGATGATCGAGCACAGACACCGCATAGAGGACACCATCTACCATCTAAAATCCGTCACGCATTGCCACAGAAAGATGAGCAAGGGCGACCAGGCCAGCTTGTTCATTTGAGCCAGACAATCATCCTCTCGCCTCATCAATGAGTACGTATGCATACATAGATTTATGCACTCTTACTGCCTTCACTTTGACTTTCTCTTGGTCAACTTATCTGCACCTCCCACAGATTTTGGTTACCTGCGATCACCTGACACTTATCAGCATGGTGAGTCCGCCCGCCGGGCGGGCTCTGCCCACACTTGCCTGAGATGGTCTAGACTGAAAGGCACCTGGCACTGCTGGCAGGCTCCGACTTGGTGCACAGTTCAAAGCACCAACAGCAACAGCAATAGCAACAGTTTTACCTTCGGAACATCGATTGCGGGACAGGAGGCTTACCGAATAGTACTGACACCACCCTCCTCCGGTCCCCCTTTGCCCTTGGTGTTGTTGGTAAAGGAACTCAGTTGGGCTGTCCCTTTCCCCATGTCTCATTCCAGCTTTCCCTCATGTTTGAGCTCAGGCCTGCGATGAGATAGTTATATACATTCGTGGCTACCAGTCCGCCTACTGCCACGGAGGGCCTGCCCGAGAACGGTCACATACACTGGCTCAGGCTGGTCATCACAGCGATGGACCCGGGGACGCCAGACCCGAAACAGAATCGCAGCAAAAGAGGTCTACGTAGTGAAAACAAGAAGAGAAAAATTAAATTCCAAAGAGCGATTAAAGACTCCACTTTGTTGTGGCCACTCCCGCTTGAACGAACCTGATCGAACATATTCCCCGTACTGTACGCCGTACCAACCAAGCAATTCCCGAGGCATCATTCGAGTTCGG